ACACAAATGTCTGTTCTTAACTTTTCTGAAAACTATTTCTTATCAACCGGCTTTCTTCAATAACATTTCTGCGTTTTTAAGTTATTTGTTTTTCAAATATTGTATTTTATGATTATTTAGCATTGCAATGGGCATAGAAAATGCTTTTTTTAGCCCAGTTTTGTCAGGCGCATTTTAGGCACGAAGTAGCCTTATTTGTTCTTGTTTTACAATTGGTGAGGATTATACAAGTGACGCGGTCTCTTTTTGAAAGTCACAGCCTGAAACGAGAGCAGTGCGATGCAACTATCAATCCCACCCATTGTCGCATGGAGATTAGTCGATCGGCCCCGCCGAGCCTCCGAGCCGAAAAGATGCAAGTCGATGCAAATGAGCCCGCTGGCGTGGACAAATAGGCCGTCGCGTCTCCTTCGAGTTCGATTGATCGATCGCAGCCATTTGGTACGCCGCGTCGTCGTCGCCATAGCTTCGTCGCGGAGGTGCGCCGTCGTGCCCCTGCCGAAAACTTGAAGCCAGCCCTTGACTTGCGGAGAGAGAGAGAGATAGAGAGAGAGAGAGAGAGAGAGAGGAGAGAGAGAGAGAGAGAGAGAGAGAGAGGGAGGGAGGGAGGGAGGTGTGTGGCAACCGGGCCATACGAGATGGCGACCGGGTTGAAACAATGAGAGATGTCGACACTTTGGCGGTCCGATTCCGAGCGCTCATTTTGTCGCTCTGTCTCTCTCGCTCTCATGGGGCGTCTCGAAGGAGTGCGAGAGAGACAGAGCAACGAAGCGCGGTGTGGGTCCCCGTGGCTTCGCGCTGCTGTGCGCGGCGGTGGTTGGCGGGCCTCCCGCCACGACGGCGTCCTCGGCGGCCTCGGGGAGGCGGGGGGCGCTCGGCGCACCCCTTGGCCTCGGGCACCTCGGGGCACCTCGGGGCACCGCCACCGACCACCACACCGGAACTCGGTTCCCTATGGTCGCGCGATACTTTCCCGCGTCGCATCGCAGTGTTTTTCAATCAGGGAAGCTGAATTAAATAGTGAGTACGCATCCCCGGAACGCCCTGGGGCGGCCTGGAAAGCCCCGGGGCGAACGGCCGAGGGAAGGGGAGGAAAAAATACAGAACCTGCCCTGTTGGTTTTTAAACGCACGTACCTGGTTAAAAAAACAACGAAAAAACAGTTTTTTTGTTTTTAATTTACCACTGCCGTGGCGTCGCAGCGCTTAGCGGTTTCCAGCGACGAAATCGTAAAGCGTAACGACATTGGCCGCCGTGACGCGGAGCGACGCGGCTGGCGCAACACTTAAACGTCCCTTATCTATGACTCAATAAAATGTGCCAGGACCTTTCAATAAGACGTAATCGCAAACATAAAGTGGCGAACATACAAAGAGTCATGCACAATACGTGCGCGTGGCCGACCGTGGCCGCCGGTTCGCATCCTTGCATAAACACGGCCTGGCCGTGGCGAGCCGCGCCGTGTCTGGCACGGCACGGCACGGCACGCCACGCCACAAAGGCCAAGATACTCGATCGAATCCGATATCACACCACCGACAAAACACACACGGCGCACACATCGCATGCACCTATTGATCGCCGATTCACAATGACCGTCTTCAATAAGTAATTACACGAAAACATTTTGATCCGCTCGTCAAGTCCCAACCCTTCGGTGCCCTTCGGTTCCCTTCCGAGTGCGACAGAGGCGGCGGCAGGCGGTCCGCGCCGAGTGCGACGAAGACGGCGCGAGCCCGCGGGGTGGCGACCTTTTTTTTCCACCTCTTCTTCGCGGCTCTTCGGAGCCTCTCTCTCCCTCTCGCCCGCTCAAATAAAAGAGGCGTACCTGAGACTTCTTTTTATTGTCTCCGGGGGTTCCCTTGGGTTGGGATCCCTTTTTGTCAAAGCCGCCGTCTTTATATATAGCCCTTCCAACCCTTTAGGCAGCCTTTAGCGCGGCCCTTCCATTGATGAGCCCTTGCTTTGCATAGAGGGATGCTGTGCGGTTGCGGTGTCAACTTTTCTGCAGTATATCGCCACAGCCACACGAAGCTGCTTACTTGAAAAGTTTTTTCTCTCTCTCTGTCTTTTCTTCTTGTGTTTCTGCTCGGACTGGGCGCACCTCGCTGAAAGGTTTTCCAGCCATCCGCGGGGGGCGCCTCGCTGGAGTTTGTTGCGGCCCGACCATTGCAAACTGCACCCTCCTCACCCCTTTCCGCGCGTCTCCACGTTGTCAAGGAAGGTGCGCCAAACTCGTCGGCTTTGTGCCGATGGAGTTGTGACAGGTCATTACTGGCTTTGGCGAGCTTTGCAGCGCTCTGCAGCGCCGTGCAGCGCTTTGCGGGGACACACCGTAATGGATTCGCATTGTCGCCCGCGGAAAATCGGATGAGTCTGGTCGAGTTTGGATTAAGGAAAAGTGGCGCGCAGACTCAGCTCGTTTGTTTTACCGGCCTTTCGTGCTCATGTTCGTTGTGGTGCCGCGAACAAAACAAAACCCTCATGTTTGTATCAAAACCGTCGAAGAGACACATTCCTGGTACCTGATATTTGCGTCGTAATTTCGTGATTGGATAGTGAAGTGCCACCTGTCGATGCCCGGAAAGCGCGGCGCCCGAACGAGGAAGAATG